GAAGTAAAACATAAATTGAAGATGAATCTCATGAATTCTGTAGAAATCTTCACGATTGAAAGCAAGTTGGAGAGTATTTGTCCGTACTACAACGACATGAATGCGCTTTTTGTCGGACGCCAGAACTTTCGACCATCATTTGTGTTAGAAACGAACAATGACATCGGTAAATCTTGTGAATGCTTTGCCATTAATACTCATCACTAAAACACGATTTCATGTAGTCGATGAGTCGGGTGATTGTGACGAATCCTTCATGTACGACAACAAGACAAATGGCAATGCCGGGGTTACTGAGGACAGCGAACCAATAATAGAGCACGACCCTGACGACCCCGACAACGACGAGTACTGGGCAGACAACGACGCCCATGACCCTGGCCGCCTTGCAGCACAAACGACGAGCCCGATGGCTGATATCAACGTGCACGGACCCGTCGGCTCTAACGATGCGCCTGGCAAAGGGCCCGGGACCACCAGCGACCATGCCCTGCCCGCCAAAAAGGACATTGTTGCACGCATTCAACGCAACGCCCACAGCGCTGCTTCCTCGCTGCCTTCTCGTCACTTCCCCGCAACGGAAAAGCGACTCACACCACGAAAGTACTTCTCGTCAATCTACATGGACGTGCAAAGTCAGGTGTGTTCCCTCGAATGCGAGAAATTCGAGTACAAATAAGAAAGGGATAGGCTCACCCAATCTGCATCAGCAGTTAGGGAATTGCAAACTGCGAAAGTGTCAATGATCGCAAATTTAGTACAATCGGGGTTGGTAGATGTTGACAAAATCCGTGAACTTGTTGCAATTGCATTACCAGTCGACTAATTGTGATAAAAACAAAGATCACAACGACTTGTCATTTTTCGTAAATCCTAAATATTGAAGCAGCTCGGACTTTATGTTTTCGCGCATGATCAAAAAATTATCTTTGGGATGGCGTGGCTGACTTGACTGGGACATGGAGTTTCACAGTACAATGGCACACTGTCTTCACCATTACGGAGGCGGTTTACGATTTTGTGCAGAACGCAGCAGGCCAAAATCCAGTGGCACACAAAATGGACGTCGCTCTCGTTTCGGATGTCGACAGGCAGGAGGGCAAGTCTCGACCAACGTCCTTTCAACAGGCCGTTCCCATGCTCGCAGACTACTCGAAGGCTCGCATGGCCAGTGTTGAAGATGTCGTTTCCAACTTCTCGCGCGGAGGGCAAGCGATAGGGGGTGAGCATGTGGCGACCGAGGGGGAAGCCCGAGTCGCCTGCTTGATATTGGTTAGGGTTGAAGTAGGACAGGGGCCGTAGCGCGGGTGATGCGGAAGCCCAAACAGTTGAGTCGTGAACACTGCCAGGCCATCCCGCAAGCACATACCGAATTTGTCGGCAGTTATCAAACGTCAACAGTACATTCATCGAATATTCCTTTTTTCGACTGTTATATACCTACCTCTCCATGTAATGCAGGTTTTCGGTATAGAACAACTTGAGTGTCATCAGTTGCCAAAACGCATTTACGAAATCCATACCGCTCAGCATTTGACTTAGCAAGCAGCCGTCTTTCCGAAGAATTGGGCCACGTAATTTCCGAAGTAGAAAGTAAAATCAGGGGAACAGATAATACGTCTCGTATAAAGATGAACTGTCCCATTACCAATTCCCTTCGCCCGTGCGACCATGCCAACAGATGCACCAGACCCATTGTGTTCAAGGCGATGCAGAGCACAAGCAAGCTGCACCCACACAGGCCGTTGAATACGATTCGTTTTTGATTGAAATACAGAATGTTCCTCGATCAAGTGCAAGGTGTAGGCAAACGTAGTCTAATCTGGCAAACACGAACTTCTTGTACAAAGTCTCCTACAGCCATGAAAGGAAGAATCGAAAGCTGCCCGAGAGGACGCAACAGCATTGCACGTGTTTACATGTAACGAGCACTGAGAAGCATACAGCGAAGTTCAAGAAGCTGTCGTATATCATTCTTTGTAGAAATTGATAAACGGGGATTGCATGTAACAATTGCTCGCACCATGGCGTCCAAGCTTGCCAAGAGGTAAAGGAGACGCGTCCGAAGGACGAGACGCAACCTCCAGTTGGTGCGCGCGAAGTTTCTTGACGTCGCCGTCAAAGACTCGAAGTGTCCGATGGAGTCCTTTCATGGACCACATGGCCTCGACGTCGGCGCACTTCGTCGCCTGGGCGGTAAGTCCTTCGCCTTCATGGTCAACTCGAAGTGCCACTCGTCAAAGTTGTCGATGCCACGAAGGTGGTGCGTGACAGACAGGATCGGGCGGGAAGCAACAGTGTTCGGTGTTGTAGTGCTCATAGCCAGTTGGGGGGGTTGTTAGCGAAGAGAAAACACGGAGTTGAGGATATTGGGGTTTTCGTAAAACGAGAAGTAAGGTGAAGTGAACGGTGGGCGAAGCCCATCCGCCAGTGTAGGCCAACTGGCCAATGAGGTCACGACATCCTAACGATGTGACGTGCCCTTCGCTGGAACTAACTACTACACGTGGAAAAAGTCTCTAGAAGGCACAAAAAAACTCCTACAGTTG